GACCTCATTTGTGATTACATGCGTACCGTCGTTCACTTCATCTGTAAGCAGGTTACATTGTTACCATTTGCACAGCCATAATCAAGCTGCATTTTCCACTTCATTCAGAATTGTGATCTCCTTGAACTGTCTCCAGTCACTGTGAGATCTTCATCCATTGTTTCCATCACCATCATCGTTTATTTATTTATAATTTATTTAATTATTCTGCACGTAACTCAGACTGGTAGTGTTGAATGCTTTAATGGTTTCAAATAATGAATTGGAAAGAATGTGGAAGGACACGGTTGCAGTCTAATTTAAGGTACTGCTGGCATTTGCCTGAAGGTACTGAGAAAAATCACAAAGAATCTCAGGATAGTCAGTGTCTCAGCAGGTATTCAAAACTTGCACCTCACAGAGAAAGAGCTTCCAGCTTCAGGGTCGTAGAGTAGGCAAGGAAAGAAGCAAGCTTTCTTCTTACTGGTTGCTTGCTTTGCTTATTCTTTGACTCTCAAACTGGAGGTAGTACAATCCTCCAAAACATATGTAAACTTCTACCATACTACATGACATCACTTCTCAGAATATAGCATTCTTAATAGTCATCTAGCAAGAACTGCAAGTCCAACATAAAGAAATGTAGCCTGACAACAGCAAAAATAAGCCATACGATGATGCCAAAGCCGATTCTCCATTCTTGTAACTTTATACTTATTCTTGTCCTTGTAGTTATGTACTGATAATGTAGGTGCTCAGTTTCATTTGTCTTTTATATATTTTTTCGTATGCACTAAATGTAAATCAATGGGAACATTGATTAAGCTTCGGAAATACCGAGGCATGAGTATTGAAACTTGAAAGGTTGAAATTCCGTGGGCTACAACTCATGGTTCCTGTCAAGATAATCACTACAGGCTTTGTCTTGCAGGTGTCAGCAGTCTTCTTTGCCATCATTCACAGCTTTTGAAGAAACAAATAATACATTCAGAAGTGTGTGTCTGCAGAAAGACAGTGCATCTCGACTGCATTCTTGTACAAGTACCTGTAATGATAATAAATGTAAGAATGAAGGTACTAAGATAAATGTCAGTTCGAATGAAATCTGTAGCAGGCTGAAAACTGAAAGCACTGACACATTTATTATATCATCAGTGCATAATGAACATCTTCATTTCAGTGAAGCAAGACGCCAGTTAAACTCTGCTGCAAGACAAAGGTGTCTTAAGTACAAGTCGGATGGGATTTTGGAAGACACTGCAGAAACAACGTTGAATAAAACGGAGGTTATTAACAGTAAAGATAATTTAAAGAAAGATGCCAAGTTAAGGAGAGAGAGCAATGGTTTTCAATGTATGCACTGTGGGAAGAAAATAGCTACTAAGGATAAATTCAAACTTCATCTTCGAATTCACACAGGTGAAAGACCATATACATGCCATGTCTGTGGAAAACAATTCCGTGTACCTGGAGGATTGAACCGACACATCAGAGACGTTCATGTAGGTGTCAGAGAATTTTCTTGTGATATCTGCAGTAAGACCTTTGCTTCTAAGGCAACTCGAGATGACCACCGTAGAGTTCATACGGGTGAACGTCCATATATATGTGACTCATGCGGAAAAACTTTTAAGACAAAAGCTTGTCTTTATACTCACAACAAAAGTCACTCAGATTCCTACCCATTTCCCTGTACTTATTGCAATAAGGGATTCCGATCGCGACCATCGCTTCTTGCTCATATCCTGACACATACAGGCGAGAGACCTTTCAAATGTGAAGTTTGTGGTAAGGGCTTCCGCATAAAATATGAACTTTCTAAGCATAAACTAGTTCATTCAGAACAAAAGCCTTTTGTCTGTGCAGAATGTGGGCTTTGCTTCCGACAGAAGCGTTATCTGAAGAACCATGGCAAGGTTCACCATTAAGCAAAAGTAAAACAGATTGTTGTTATTTAGTTTAGATTAGTAGGATAGTCTCTGGAATTTGAATCAGTTATGCAGTAATTAAATACAAATTTCATCCATGATATGTAAGCAGTGTCAGTCTTTTAGTGCACTCAGTTTTACTTGTTACTTCACAATGTGTTACGGCACTATAGCGCCATCATCAGGTGCTCCATTTACGTCAGTCTATTTCATTGCTTGCCATTATGTCATTGTAAAATTTAAAAAGTATTTTAAAATGTTCATCAGTTACACTGCTTACATATCATGGACGAGGATCAGTGCAACAGGACACTAAAATACAACATTACAAATTTCATATTTGTAAAGTCACTTGCTGAATGCGTACATTATGTCAGTGAAATAAAAAACCGATGAAATATATTTTAGATAATGTGTGAACTCAGTATAGATGTATGATAGAAGAAACTTTGGTTATTATTTAATTTCAAATGTAAAATGTAAAGAAAGAACCAAAGAACACGTGGCAGGTTATTGGAGTGCTTTATATATACCATAAACTGGATCAGATTAATAGGATATTGTGCACAGAATGTGTTACAGTGAATTTTTGTCATGTGAAGGTGCCATGTTGGTTTATGTAGCAAAAGCCATGTTAACCAGAAAGTGGCATTAAAGTATCAGTTAATGATGATTTTAATTGTAATTTTAATGCAGATATTTATGCATACAGCGTATATGATTGTAAATGGACAAGAAAGTAAAGCTGTCCTTGCAGCAGGCCATGGAGGCCCATAGTGTTGTGCGACATTGAGGTTTCCACATTTTCTAAACATTTGGCTCACAGATGGTGGTGAGGTTGTTAGCCTTGCATACTGGCCACACTATACCCCCAGAAGATTCCTGGTACTCATTGATCCCAGCGCCATATTGCAGCCGGAAGGATTAGATCAATTGAGAATCCAAAGACCTCAACAGGAATCAAACCTGGAACATTCTGGCTTGTAGCATAGTGCCTCAACCAACTCTGCTGCCATGTGTCCTGACTGTTGTAGAGTGCTTGCATAATATAAAGAATCGCATTGAAATTTTGGCCATTTTGCTGTGTTTTCTTTGTGCGATATGACAGTCCCTCAGTTTTAATGCTAAAATAGTGCCTTGATTTACGTGACAGTTTATTTTGTTGTCACCCCTCACTATGTTTATAACTTCTGATTTGATCCTGAATAACTGTAACAGTTGCAAAATAAGTTAAAGCAATTGTGTTGAATACAATGATTTTCTTTTTTATGTTCAAGCACTCTAGGAACACTTAGTAATACAAGGCTCCAGTGTAAAAACAGCTCTGTATTTTTGCAGCTCTTTTACTACCACGTTACTGTTTTGCATTTGGAATTGTATGATGGATCTGGAATAAACATTGTTTCAGAATTACATTCAGAATCATTCTTTGTATGTAATGTGAACCTGTGCATCACTTACATGTGTCATTTTCCCCTGACTCTGACATATTATGTCGCATGTAATGGTAACTGTAAACTTCTTTTATTTTGCACACAAATTCTGACCATGTAATGTGTGGTCATTAATGTGAATGCCCTTTTAAATATTTATGCAGTAACACACCGATAAAGCAGATATATTTAAAATAAACCCTGATTTTATTAAATGTTTTGCATATAAATAGTGGATTTATAGAAAGGAAGAAAGGTACCAAAAGAATCTTTGCAGTGGTACCATTTGTTCTGGCATGTATTCTTATAATTTCTGTCAGGCCTGTTAGACTTATAGGATATTGTCACATAGAATGTTTCCATCTTCTGCCATAAAAACATCTCCTTCCATTACAACAAGTTTGACATTTCTGGATTAACACCATGTAAGTCTTGCAGATTATCAAGATTTCAGAAGACTGTATTCCTTGACCACACTTATTTCCCTCAAGATGAAAATGGCAGTATCCTCCAAAACATTTGCAACAACCTGCAGACTACATGGTGTCACCCCAGAGGACCACAGTCCAAATCTTATACAAATATCAGATCCTGAAAGTCTTTGCAGCAGATATTACTTTATGAAATAACATAACTGTCTTGTGGTAATTATGAATTGGTTAGGATTGATATGGTGGTTGTGGCCTATTTTATGGTACTCTCCTCATTTCCTCAGGGATTTTAGAAGAAAGTGGATGGTCCTGATCTTGGTACTTGGCCATGGGACTGTAAATATATGGAAAAGTTACTTTTGCAGTTTGGTCATTTCTTCATGAGCTATATGGCATCTAGAATGATATAGCAGACATGCTATTGTGAAAGGTCACTAATCTTGTTACATACTTTAAACCATTAAAGTAATGAAACAGTGTCATAACATAACTGAAATGAAGAAATTGCCTCTTCAGTCACAATAAGTTAATTATTATTCATAATGAAAGAAGTACACCTGATGACATAATTTTGTAATTTTTAACTTTAGTGATCCATATTCAGTAAATTAAAAAGAGATTGGAAGTTCTTAATTTTGTAATGAATTCCAGAGTTTACCAAAGAATGTGTAAGAAGAATGAAGTTTAGTATGGTGACCCAGAGTTGAAATGGCATTGATATGTTTTCATAATGGCAATTTTAGTTTTGCAGAAATGCATTTTTTAGGAATACTGTTGGAGATCGGAATGAGAACAGTTTAGTATGCATATAGAGCTCAAGGCCTATTATTTCAATCCTTTTAAAAGCTTCTGATTAATAGGTACATTTTCAAATTGAGTAATTTTCTCAGGATAATTTGTTACACCTGGCACCTTCGTTGTTCTTATGTCCTTGGCTGTAATCAAAATTTCATACCTGTTACCATGAATATGAGTAATAGGAACCTGTTCAAGTTGCAAGCCATTAGCAGTAATCTCTCTACACACTTTATCTTGCAGGTGTCAACCAACTCCTCTGGCATCGTTCAAAACTTTTCATGAGGCATGCCAGACTGCACTGCAGAACATTTATCTGAAGAAGAACATGACAGATATTAAAACACCTGTTCAGTTAAATTATCANCTATTATTTCAATCCTTTTAAAAGCTTCTGATTAATAGGTACATTTTCAAATTGAGTAATTTTCTCAGGATAATTTGTTACACCTGGCACCTTCGTTGTTCTTATGTCCTTGGCTGTAATCAAAATTTCATACCTGTTACCATGAATATGAGTAATAGGAACCTGTTCAAGTTGCAAGCCATTAGCAGTAATCTCTCTACACACTTTATCTTGCAGGTGTCAACCAACTCCTCTGGCATCGTTCAAAACTTTTCATGAGGCATGCCAGACTGCACTGCAGAACATTTATCTGAAGAAGAACATGACAGATATTAAAACACCTGTTCAGTTAAATAAACTTGAGGGATATCTGACTGGGGCTGATGTATCATGTAACTTTTGTGGATGTATTTTTACTACAAAAAGTGAATTAGCAACTCATCTGTCAATGAAACATTGTGATACAGTACTTCATTGTGAAATTTGTGATGGAATATTTTGTGAAAGCAAAACTTTGTTTGTTAAACATATGGAAAATCATGAAGACCAGTTCGAGACAGCGTGTATAACAGAATCTTTGTCAGAAGTTATATGTACAGAGAAAACTAAATCTCACGTGCTTGAAAAGTGTGGTAATTTCCCTTGTAGGGACCGTGGTAAAATATTCATGAAGAAGTCAGAAATGGTAAGTCACATGAGAGATGATCACGAAGAGATTAATATTTCTGAAGCCTTAGGTACTAGGAGTGACGAAAATGTGAATAGGAAGTTGGAGCATTGCATACAAGAGATAAATGAGAAATTTTCATGCAATGTGCGTGGTGAAGTTTTTGCAACAAAATTTGATGCAAAAAGACATAGTAAGAATATGCTTTTTTTTAAATGTTTAAGAAGCAGGTCAGATAATTCGAAAGAAAGTGAAGAATTACAGCATTTATTAGAATCAAATTCCAAAGCATGTTCAAATGCTGACCAAAATCTTAATTCTTCAGAATTTGCATATGGTGTGCATGGAAAATCTTTTGCGAGGAATTCTGATGATGCTGTAAGACACAGAAAAGCTTTGATCCTCAAAAAAGAGAGCAGGGATACTACTGTGGGAGTTTGTGCTGACCTGACAAGAATATCCATTGTTTCACAGAAAGAAATAGCTTGTATGATATGTGAAAGGGTGTTTACTAGGAAGGCTGATATGAGAAGACATGTTAAAAATGTGCATCATGTACAGCAAGGTGATGGAAATCCAAGTAAGAGCCATGGAGTTGATTCATCCACAGCTCATATTGACCCCCCACTGAGTGATAGTGGGAACAGCAGCGTAATTAAAGCAAAAGATACATCCTCTGATACTATAATTAAGCATAAGGGCAAGAAAAGCAGTGCTGATGATGCTGTGTCACGCGCTAAAATTAAAGTTGATGGGAAGACTTACTTTCATTGTCAAGTCTGTGGGAAGAATCTGTTCCGTAGGTGCACGTATGTGAGGCATATGCGTATACATACAGGCGAGAAACCTTTCACTTGTCATGTTTGTGGCAAACAGTTCCGAGCTGAACCACAGATTCAACGTCATGTAAGAGAGGTTCATGAGGGTATCAAGGAGCATGCTTGCCCAATATGTGGAAGAAAGTTTGCCAACACCCGCACAAGAAATGATCATGTGACCGTTCATACAGGTGAACGTCGTTTAGTTTGTCATCTATGTGGCAAGAGATTTAAAACACGTGCGACATTCCATACGCATAAGAGGTCCCATACAAACTTATTCCCTCATAATTGCACTCATTGTGGCAAGTCATTCAGACGGAAATATGAATGCACAAAACACATGATGATACATACGGGTGAATATCCTCATGAATGTGACATTTGTGGGAAGCATTTCCGATATCAGAATGAGATGATTAGGCACAAACTGATCCATTCAGATCACAAGCCATTCAAATGCATGGTGTGTCATCTTAGTTTCAGGCAAGTGAGGTACTTGAAAAACCATACCATGAAAACACACCAGGGCCATCAGTTGGGAGGAAAGAGTGAAGATTTGCACCTGGAGGGCATAGGGATTATAAATTAATTTTTGTAAACTTGGCCTGCATGTGTGATCACATAAGCAAGGTGATAAAGGTGGAGTTGTCTAGGTTAGAACAGTGGAATACTGATTTTCAAGTCATTCATAAAATGTATAATAGAATTAAAAGGAGTTAAGAAATAATGTCTTAACAGCGGATCAGCTGTGCTACTTAATGTCTGTATGATTATTAGTTTTTCTTCATTGTGTATCGGACGACTGTTATATTGCCATGGTTTATGAATATCTCATTATTAAAATGACACTATCGGTATATTATTATTTTACACACACTGTAATTGAGTTTAAGACTTGCATAGTGCCGCAAAGCTGCAGATGGTAGCACACAACATTGTGGGCCGTGATGTATTGAATAAAACATAATGAGAATTTAAAGAGAATACTGTTGGTACTATATGCTATGTGGTGTTCTGCATATGAATGCTGATGTGGACTAGCAAGAATCAAGCATCAGCAGCTGTAATCACTCTGCACACTTTGTCTTGCAGGTGCCAACTGTCTACTCTGACAACGTTTAGGGCGTTCCAACAGGCACAAAATGCATTGAAGAGTATGTACGAGCCCATGGTCACCATTTCTACTGTATCTGAACCTATTGACTGGATTAAGTCTGAAGATTACAACTTAGATGAATTACAGACAACCAAGACAGATGAACAGCATCAATCAGATGAGTTATATCATTGTGACATTTGTGATGAAAAAATCAGAGGGAGCAAATATGCAATGGAGACTCACATGGAAGGTCACAAACAAGATAGGAAAATGGAGAATCCAGTTGTGTATGATTCAGACAGTTCAGAGTTAGGGCTTGAACCAGCACATTATGAGTCTCCTGATAATCATCATAGTAGTAGTAGTAGTGGTGACAAGAAGAAAAGGACAAGGACTAAATTGAAGAAACTTAAAATTGTTAAGTCAACAAAGAGGATTGTCTGTAAATCCACTAAGGATTTCCCTTGTGATATATGTGGCAGGATATTTAATAGAACATACCACTTAAACAGACATAAAAGAACACACCGACCTCAGAGTGATGCACCACCAAAAGATGAACCAATCTTTCAGTGCGAATTGTGTGGGAAGAACTTTAGTTGCAAGAGCACGCTGAAATCTCACCAAGTTGTACACACAGGTGAGAAACCATTCACCTGTCACATTTGTGGTAAGAGCTTCTCTCAGACAGGATTGTATTACCACCTGAAGCATGTTCATGCAGGCATCAAAAACCACAGCTGCGATATATGTGGTCGCAGCTTTGCAGCAAAGCCTGCTATGGAAGATCATCGTCGCATCCACACAGGAGAACGTCCTTATGTGTGTAGTACATGTGGAAAATCATTTAAAACAAAGGCTACGTTGTACATACACAATAAAATTCACACAGATATATTTCCTTTTGCATGTTCCTATTGTGGTAAATTGTTCCGGAATCAGCATGAAATGGTTAAACATCTAGTGACACACACGGGTGAAAAACCACATATTTGTGATATTTGTGGGCGTGGCTTTAGAGCAAGAAATGAAATGACTAGACATAGGATGTTACATTCAGATGATAAACCGTTCGTATGTTCAGCATGTGGGTTGGGATTCAAGCAGGAGCGATACCTAAAAAGACATATGAAAGCCCACCATCCTGGTAACCAGTGAGGAAAGAAGTAAGGTTATTTTTTATTTTTTATTTTTTTTTGCATAAAGATAATATCACTCATTTGTGTATATAGATTGTGCCAGTTCTGTTTCTTCAGTAAATATTACAGTGACAGAAATTGGTTTATAGGCTTTTTATGTGATTACAGTTCCTTTCTTTTGGTGCTCCCTGCAGTAATTTTGTAGCAACATTCCGTGTAAATTGTACTCTTGCTGAACTACAGGTTTGAAAAATGGCCACAATACAGTGACAGATGATGTATGTTTCTTGACACTTTGATGTCTGTGGTGGTTTTAAGAAATCACAAAAATGGTTTGAGTAAATATTTTGAAAATACATATTCCATCAGTATTTTATTTTATCTAAGTATGGAATATAGTGGAAGTATGTAAAACTCTAAAGAAATCTGTGGAATAGAAGCAGTGGTTAGTTTCTGGAAATTTTCTTCTCATTATGTATTTTAATTCTAAATGTGATGCCCTTTAGTTTTGCTTCAGGAAGGATGTTGTAAAATTCTGGGTTGGCACTGGTCATCACTGCTGTATGAGCATCTACATTATGATTTTTATAATAATTATTCAAAGCGTATGTAGGGTAACTTTGAATATAATTTTGTCATGAAGCTAGTGTAAGTGAGGGCTTTCCCAACACTAGATCACAGTATTTAGTGTAATGTATAAAGAGAAAAGTATTAGAAATCTGCTAATGAGGGAATCTATTGTACTCATATTATTTTTATTTATATCTTTCCTATTTTAAGTATTTGTGAGATTGGGGCAATGTTTGTGGACCACCTGTCTCCAGTGATTGCATTCAGTTAACACCATAGGTCACTTTTACTATTTGTTACAATGTGTTTTTTTTTTCCTGCCAAGTATTTGTTAGTTAACATCAACTACCAATAATAGTGAAGTCAGTATACCACCGCAAGGTGATTCTCACTGCTAAGTAATGTCAGTAAAGGTAATAGCAATGAATAAATACATATATAAAGAACTCCTTTGTATTTATCATTTTATCTCACATGCAATTTGAAACAGCTGCTTCCTGAATGCTGTCACATTGGGCTGTAGAATGAGAAATTTGTTTTAATGCTTTTTTATGAATGTGATAAATGGTGTGTGGTATTTTTATCTCAGTTTTTTATTGGTTTATTAGTGATGTTGATATCTGTTTTCTAAAATTAAATAAAAAAATCAGTATCAATTATGTGTACTTACTACCATCCTGATATTATAGATCATATTTCTCCCTGCATCATTTGAAAGATTTTTGTGGTAACAGTTTTATTGCTTAAAAGTAATGTGACATTTCAAGAACAGAGTCTTTACATATTTATCAAAATAGGTTCCATTGGGTGAATATCAAAGTTTTTTTTTTTCTTCTGTTGTAAGCCTAAGCCAGTGGACATGAACAAATTATTACGTTTATATATGTGGCCTTCCTTGAACAGGTGATGCTTTTTCTTTCTCTTAAGAAATGTTGTCCTTTTGTTGAACTTGAATGTTCATCATTTTTTCATGCAAGTTTGAAATTAGCTACTTTGTGAAAAACTGCGCTTTACAACTTTATTATATTGATATCACTACTCAGTGGTGTCTGTTGTCCATGATGTTTGTTTATTTTCCTTTTAAACTTCAATTTTACTCTCCTGGATTTGAATGCCATAAGTATTCAATTTCTTGTTATTTCATAGTACATAAAATTAAAAGGTATGGCAACTGTGACTTCAAAATGGAGTTATTGCACAGTTGTTTGTTTCAACTGTCTTAAATAAGTGCATCCAGAATATTACCCCCTGTGATGCAAAAAATAAGCATTTTGAAGAACATGGTAGTTCCTGGTATCATTCCATAGTGTGCATATGTTTTACTGTTTTAAAATTTAAGAGGAATTATAAGCTAATAAAATAAAACATGTTATATGTAAATGAATAGGTTATGTGGTGGGGAATTAGTTTCGCTTATAAATGCATATGCACCATTGGGATAATTTTTTTAGAAGCATGAAACATTAAGCTTTGGTTTAATCTCTCTCTCTGTATGATTTTGTTTCTTGGCTGTCCAGACACAACCAGGAACCCAAACAAAATGTCAAGAGGTTGTAACACTTGTCTCATTATTTGATATTTGTGTACTGTAACTGGAGAACCCAGCATAGGGCCCTGTATGCACTGTTAGAAATTTCTGCTCACATTGTTCTTTAATACAGTTTTAAACATTTATAAACATGTAGTTATCTCAGTCTTCAGAATTGCAAAATGATGGTATGGCATAAATCAGACATTCTGCAAGTCATGTTAAAAGTTTGCTAACAGTCAAAGCATTGTTGCATGTATAAGAGAACTGCAGCAGTCGCATTCCATAAACTGACATGTAATATTTCATATGCTATCACAAAGCTTGTATAATATGATCACAGCTCATTTCACTTTTTGAGTGCATATTGCTGGAAGACATCTTGTCCCCTGTGGGTCGCAATTACGAGGGAGAGTTAGTAAGTATGTCACAGATGGATATACAACATGTGATATTCAAACCTGGGGGAAAAAAAAAAACCTTTATTTCCTGACATATCCCCCACAAATATTGATACACTTGTCTCATCTCTCTATCAGTGATTCAGAACCTGCAGCACAGAAGTCTTTTAACTTTTGTCTCAGCCACCAAGTGGTTTTTTTAGCAGACCAAATAGAGGGAAGTCACTAGGGGCCTTCTGAAGACAGGCTAACAGTATTCCCTGAGAATCCCAAAACAAGATAAGCATAACCTTCCCAGCTGATGACATACCCCAGAATTTTAGTTGAAGATGAACTGGGATGTTTCCAGTAAATTGAAGCATGCTTTAATCTGGCTTGGTAGTGATGCACCCAAAATTTGTCCCCAATAACAGTCTTATAAGGCATATCTGCTCCTTTATCTACATACCATAAGAGATGTTGCAAGGACAGACCCATGCAGTTTATTTTTTCTTGATCCTTCAGTTCTCCGGGCACCCACCATACACACACTTTTCAGAACTTCAAATGATCATGCTTTATGCTGTATGCTAAACCATGGGAACACCCTAATGCAGTTGTTACACCGTCTATCATTATCCTGCCTTCAGCTTGAAAAAACTCCTCTACCCACTACACACACAGTTGCTTCTGCCATAGTCGCAACAGGGTAACCTGGTTGGGCATCGTCTGCGACTTTCAAATGTCCTTGAGAGAATTCCTCGACCCAGCTGTGAACCACTTTATGCAACAGGCACTTCCCACCATAAACTGAAAATATTTCTTCATGAATATCCTTTGCATTGAGTGCTTTTGCCCACAAAAAAGGCACAACAGAATGCTGCTCTTCTGTATTACACCAAGCACAGTTGTAATTTTGACTACTGAAACCAGCCTCAGAACATGTGACTGCGCATCTGCTACCTGGACTCTCATGAAGCTGGACTGTTGCCTAGTGATACACATAGAAAACCTATTATGTCCATTACAGCTGTTTTACTTTGTGACCTATTTACTGACTCTCCCTTGTTCTTCACCCTAGACCAACATTTCTCTAGGGTGGTATAGTGTGGAATTTGAAACGTTTCTGGAATTTCACAATAGGGAACTGTTCTGCCTGATGGATATTCATTATTTGCAAAGTATAGAAATCCCAGTATGTGCAACAACCAGTCACTTCTAATGACCTGACTAGAAAAGAGTACAGTACAGCTCGTTAGTTAATTGACAGGATGTTGTGATTGAATGGTTAACACTCTTAGTGATGTATATACCATGGGAAGGTACAGTGTCTTTTAATTTTGCTCTAAAATAGAATGGACTGTTATGCTCAGTTGGTATTACCACCTGTCTTGCATTGAGGAGGTTGCAGATTCATTTCTCATCAGCCATTCTGAGATTTTCATGGTTTTAGTATGTAACCAAGTAAATGTGGGATAATGTAGAATAACCCCTGACTGCTTCAGCTTGTGTATTATTTATTATTCATAACCATCCTACAGTTTAGCACTGCATAACTCATGCAACTGAGAAAATGTTCAGTGAAGTCTGGTGTAGATTTCATATTATTTCCAATGAAAATTGTGTTGGCATAGGAACTTCCTAATATGATTGATATTCAGGTCTAATGTCAGCTGAAACTCTGGGCACAAAGAGCAGTAATTACTCTGCACACTTTGTCTTGCAGGTGTCAACTGCCTCCTCAGACTCCGTTCAAAGCTTTGCAACATGCCAAAAATGAAATGAGAAGTATGACCCAGCCCAGGGATACCACCGATGGTTTGAGTGATGTTAATGGCATGGTTCAGAATGAATCTTATGATTTGGAAGACACGTTGTTGACTTGTGATTACTGTGGACAGATCTCTGCTGAGAAAACTGAATTAGTGGTTCATATCTCTTCAATGCATTCACAAGACTTGGTCAAACCAGTTATTCCCACAGAAAATAAGTCAGGGATAGAGATGGAATGTAAACCAGATGATTGCAGTATTAATGGTTGTGTGGATGATAGTTACAAAGGCTATAGTCATAAAATAAGACTAGGAAAAATGAAACATCTTATTACAGCAAAGCAGAAATTTCCTTGCAGTATGTGTGGAAGTGTTTTTAACAGAAAGTCTGATATGTGTAAACACGTTAAAAAGCACAGATTGCAAGATTTTGATGTTACTAATGTAGCAATTCGTACTGATTATTCACTTGTTACTTCTGACAATAGTTTTGCTGATGCCAGTGTCCATGAATTAATTCCTGATAGGAGACTTGATGAAGCTAATTTAATTGAAGTGGAAAGGGGACATGAAGATTCTGTCAGTAAAGACAACAGAAAGACTAGGGAGATAATTACATGTGGGATGAATAAAGGTTTCTCATGTAATGTTTGTGGTAGAGTACTTTCAAGAAAGTATGACTTATTTAGGCATTTGAAAACACATGATAAAAAATTGGACTCCTGTGAATCTTTAAACATAAATAATGACAATGGTGTAGTAGGAAATGTAGAGCAGATGGTTTCAGCTATGAAATCTGGGTTGGGGGGAAGTGGTGTCATTCATGGTTTTCCATGTAATATATGTGGTAGAATCCTTACAAGAAAATTTGACTTGAGTAGGCATGTGAAAACACATTCAAGAAAGCCAGATCCCTTTGTTGGTGCAGTTGATCATGCATCTCCAGGAGTTGTTTCTGGTGTTGATATTCCACCAGACAGCTTTGGTCCAGGTAGTGGGTCAGTTGGTATTATACAGGAAACCAGTGATGGTCATATGCATGAAGATGAGTGTATCATGGACACATTCTTTAATGATGAAAGAAAAACTGATTTCCCATGTAACATTTGTGGTAGAATATTTACAAGAAAGTATAATTTATGTAGGCATTTAACAGTTCATACCAAGAATCAGTATCTCTACCCCAGTGAGAGAGGCTTGAGCATGAGACCGACACTTGTAAGTGGGAATGTGAATTCAAGCTCAAGTTTTGGTCCACAGTTGGGGAGTTCAGTGGTTAAAAATAGAACATTTGATATCTTTAGAGGCCGAAACTTTTCATGCAATATATGTTCTAAATCATTTATCAGAAGATTTGATTTAAAGAGACATGCAGAACATCACTCCCTTGAAGATGTTGGTAACTTGAAAGATAGTAATGACTGTGAGTCACTGTCTACTGCGAAGGTGGTCATAGAAGACAGGACACTTTATAAGTGTAAACACTGTGGTAAATACCTTATGACGAGGAACAGCTATGTGCAGCATCTGCGCATCCATACTGGCGAGAAACCTTGTACTTGCCATGTATGCGGCAAACAGTTCAGAACATCTGCATTGTTAAATCGCCATGTTAGGGATGTGCATGAAGGCATAAAGGAGCATCCATGTGATTTCTGTGGACGTAAGTTTGCCAACAAACGTGCAGTGCTGGACCATAAGAGGACTCACACTGGAGAACGTCCTTGTGTCTGTCATGTATGTGGGAAAGCATTCAAAACAAAGGCATCACTCTATGTACACAACCTGTTTCATATGGACGTATTTCCACATAAGTGCATGCATTGTAACAAGTGCTTCCGCAGGAGACAGCACTTGAATGTGCACCTTTTGCTTCATACTGGTGAGAAGCCACATAGCTGCCAAATTTGTGGGAAGCGTTTTCGATTACGGAAAACACTGAAACGACATGTTCTTACACATACTAATGAAAAACCGTTTGAGTGTCTGGTGTGTGGACAGCTTTTTGCTCAGGAGCGGTATCTAAAAAACCATGGGAAGACCCATGGAATTCGAATTGGCAAAAAAATTCCAACTCTGGATGTTGTTTTGCCCACACGCAGTACTTGAATTATAGAATACATGGACCTGAAAGTAGCAGTAACATTGTCCACTTATATGCATGATGCACTTAAGATTTGCACAGAATGGCAGCTCCTTTGTGAGAAAGTAGGAATTTTTTAGGGTATTTTGAATATTGAGCTGACTCTTAATATCATGTCTTATTTCGCTTTCATTTTCCTTATAATTTTTCCATTTTATGTAAGATGTGAATAGTGCTATTCTCACAACTTTTTCAGTAGATTATGTGTTATTCACTTTGTTAGAATGATTACAACATCTTTATTAGTACAGCACAAAGAGATCATTGTACTTTTAACATTGTGTTTATGCTGTTTTGGTGAGGTAATACATAAACCGTTACTTAATGAAAGGTATGAATTACAGCTTTCCTTATTTTATAAGGAAAAATTAATGTATATTATGAGCTTCTCTGTCATTGTGTCGGCATTTGTTTTTCCTAACAACCTGTGAACCTGGTTACAGATTTTCATAAAACTTGTCATAAACATCATGCCACTGGAGGTCATCATCATCCTTTTTCTGCTTATTATGTAATTGCCACCATTTCTGCCCAAAATTAAGGAAAAAATATGTGAGTGACACAGTCATACATAATATTTTCAGAGAAAATTGTAACCAGATCCAACAAGTACCAAAACATAAAATATATTAGTAAAGTGACTTATTTTCTGCATTGTATTTTGAGTTTCAAATATTCAAATGTTACAAAACCATAAAAAATTAATAAAGAGTGTATTTTGAAGAATTAGTGTCTTAATCCTTTGCCACGCCATTTAAATTCACTGTATTCTGACACTATCAGATCAGTTAATATTACTGTGTTTTAGTTGTTAAGTGTGGAAGTGTACTTCTTTGTGAGAGGTGAGAAAGGGTTAGACAGTTTTATAAAGAACTTCCATAATCATAAGAAGAAGAAGAAGGCGCTTCGGCTTTGAAACTGATGGGAAGACATTTATAAATATCTTATGACATGCTAACAAGGCTTAATTCTTAGAAGAATGAAGGTGATGTATTTTTTCATTCAAGCATTGAGTAAATTTGCTTTGCTTCAGTCATGCAATGAAAGGACTTTCAGTCAGTTCATACTGTTACAGAGGTGTAACAAAAATTGGAAGAGCCTCTTTCCATTGTCTGTTGATGTAAGTTGTAATGGAGACTTCTGGTAACATAATACCAAGGTCTGGTATTTCTCAGCTCATAATTGTTATTCAGTTATCAGAGTTTTTACAAATTCCTGACAGCCTCTTTACATAAAGAGTCTACCAGAATGTTATGCATGAACTTGAACACATCTGACAATGGTTTAAGAATCAATTGGAGTTACTCAGCTGGAATTGGTACCGAAGACATTTGGGATAGCGGAAGTAATGACCACACAATTTGTCTTGCAGGTGTCAGCTTTCTCCTTTGACATCATCCTCAACAGAGCTACACATTCCAAGTACATCAAGGATAAAAGTTATGGATGAAGATAAAACTCTTTCCCAGCATGCCTATTTTGTTGGTATTAAGTCTGAAGATGAGTCAGTGAGCACATCAGAAACAGTGTGCTGTTTCTGTGGCTTGTCTTTCCCACAGAAGTGTGACCTACAACTTCACCATCTTCCGGTTCCTACTCTATGTGTTCTGAATTGTAAGCTATGTGACGAAACTTTCACTGTAAAAGATGACTTCCTGGAACACATAAAAGGACATGGCGTTAAGTTGCATAAGAACAGTGTTATGTGTTTTTACTGTGGTCTTTGTTTTTCTCAAAAGCTAGAACGTGACACACACATTTCTTTAGTCCATTCAAACAACAAGTTGCACTGTGCAGAGTGTAGTGAAGTTTTTCAATGCAAAGGGTTGTTTTCTGAGCACATGCGATGCCACAAGAATCTGAAGGAAAGAAAATCATCCGGGTTGTGGTCAGAATATATAGGTATCAACATTGTTAAAAGCACAGTCAGTCATGAATCTACACAAAAAGTTAAAAAAGCAGGGGGAAAGTGTAATAAACACTCAATAGATGATTCTACAGTGAAGGAATGCACATGTGATGTGTGTGGGAAAATGTTCGCAAGGAATTTTGACTTAAAAAGACATATGGAGATTCATGAATCTCATAGAATGTATGTGTGTAGTGAATGCCCCAAAACTTTTAAATCCAAGGGGAGTTTAAGAGAGCATGAAAAGAACCATATATTAACAAATGTTACTGCAGATGAGGCTCAGAAAGTAGGCTGCCAGTGCAAGTATTGTGGTCGAATCCTTTCGAGGAAGTATGACCTGAAGAGACATATGAAAATTGTGCATGGTCCTAAGCAGTCCAAAGGTGCTTTTATATGCCAACGACAGTCCCCTGTAAGTTCTGTTGGATTGAATTCTAATATAAATAAAGCTGTGGATAATTCCAGAGGTCACTGGAATGAGCTTGAGTCTGAGATGCAGAGTGTTCTTGAAGAGCATGAGTCAGAAGTCACTGATGCTGCATACAGTCAAAACTCTGAGGAAAGGTTTCCATGTGGTATTTGTGGGAAGTCATACACAAGGAAGTATGATGTTAAACGACATGAAAAAATACATGGTTCGAGAGATATCACACAAGAAGAATGCGAGAATAATGAGAAAGTTAAAGTAAAACGTAAGAAAGCTTATGAAGAATTTTCTAAATACAACCTGATGCCACTGAGTGAAGAAGAAATTTCACATGCAAAAGTTGAAGTAAATGGTAGAATATTGTATCGTTGCAGCTATTGTGGGCAGCATATAATAACTAGATACACTTACGTTCGTCATATCCGTATTCATACTGGTGAAAAACCATATCCTTGCCCTCAGTGCGGAAAACAATTTCGTATTCAGACATTACTGAATCGCCATGTCAGCGATGTACATGAGGGCATCAAGAAATACCAGTGTGATATATGCGGTAAGAAGTTTTCCAGCAGTAGTGCAAGAGTAGAACACAAATTCATCCATTTTGAAGAACGCTCTTTCATGTGTCATGTCTGTGGTAAGACATATAAGACCAAGGCATGTCTCAAAATGCATAGTAGATTTCACAAAGCTGTTGGAGATTTTCAGTGTCATCATTGTGATAAAAGATTCAAAACACGTCCAAACCTGAAATCACATATCATGATACACACAGGGGAAAAACCCTATGCTTGCCAATTCTGTGGAAAGTGTTTTCGAACAACGCATGAGCTTAAAAATCATGAACTCATACATACCAACACCGAGACATTCCATTGTACAGTATGTGGGAAAAAATTTTCACAGGAACGATACCTTAAAAATCATCTGAGAAATCACAGAACACATATTACAAAAACGATTGGAAATAGGCAATAGAATGTTGTGTATGGACCTTTTGTAAGATTAAAGTACGTTGTAAAATTAGGTTTATTACAAATTGAAAGTTTTATGTTAGGGTCCTGCTAAAATAATTGATGGTTCTCTAGCTGTCAAAGAAATTACTTGCTTTTATGGAAACCAAAGGTACTTCACTGTGTATACAAAAACCTACCATTGGCCCATATCCCATATATTCACAGCTTATTTTTCTGATGGGTATTTTAATATTATTTGAACTTTACACCTTTGTTACCCACCCTCCTCTTGAGATTTGCAAACCTTTTATTTTTTAATTTCTTATTGTCCTCATTTCTCCAGTTTTCATCTTTTCAGAACCTGTTATGATTTATAAATCTGCATAAATTTAAATGGAAAATTTTATTGAGAACATTGTTCATTTTGATAGAAAAAGAACTGAGTTGCTTCAGTTTCTGAGGGTTTCCAGCATGTGGGCGAGAGTATGGGGACAGACATTGTTGTGCAACAACAGATTTCCCTCTGGCAGTCTCCCTCTTGTTTTAGAGCAGATTGCATGCTTAGCCCCTTCTGAAGCATGTCACAATAGGTTGCACTTATGATAGTTGTTCCACATTCGAGGCAGGTCTCAAGAATTAGGCCCTTGAGAATCCCAGAAGGTGGTCACCATGAACTTGCCTGCTGATGGTTGCGTTTTGAATTTCTTTGCAACAGGAGATGACAGATGCTTCCATAGCATGCTCTTCCACTTGGTTTCTGGTTGATAATGATGAACTCATGTTTCATCACCTGTGATGATCTGTTGCAGAATGTTGTCACCTTCTTAGCAATAATGAGCCAAATGGCAGGAACATGTCTAGGTGCATGCACTTACGCTGCCTACGTACCCACATGGCACGCACTTTGTGGAGCTAAAGGTTATCATGCACCACAGAATAGGCAGACCCAGTACTAATATTCAGTTTTTTTTGCATTTCCATCAACCGCCACTCTTTTCAGAATTGCTGGGGTTTTGGTCTTTTTCCATCATCCAGTATTCTAGAGACTAGAAAACAGGTTTCAGAAACTAGATCTATTTCCATCCTCAAGTTAGGGAGGAAGACATCTACTCAGTTGGGTCCCGTAGAAAGAGCTAAGCTTGAGCACTCTTCTGTTTTGAAGAATCAGTTTCCTAGCTCTTTTTTCATTCTGTGCGGTTGTGACTGGTTGGACAACCCAAGCGCTCTGCATCAGTCACACTCCTAAAGCCGTTTTAAACATTTAAATCCTCTCATACACAACTTTATAAGAGAGAGCATTGTCCCCACGCTGAGCACGCATGCACTGATGAATTTGTCCACCTAGTACACCATCTGCCCACAAAAAAAAATATCACAGATCTTTGCTCCTCCCTGGTGTGATTCTGAAGTTCCGCTGTTATGTTCATCTCTTCATGACAAGTCTCACGCTAACTGCAAGGTCAACAGGCTTGCCTTGCTGACTAGTCAGATAACACCTAACAGTGCATCCGTCCCTCCTGTTCTTCCCATTTTCTTCAAAAATATAAAAGTAGAAACTTTTTTGAAGAAAAAGCTTCTGTGATTGTGAACTACACATGTAATTTGTCTGCCCTTGATCCTTATCTGTGTTCTCTTCCATTCCATAGATATCCTGAAGAGACTACTAAATGGGTGAAGTACGTATTGAGAAATGCTAATCTAACAGGTCTTCCATTACATGTGATTTTTGTAGGAAAGGTGTCATTGTTTGGTCATTATAATGTGTACATGTTAAACACAAAATATGTGACTTAAGGTTGTACTGGACTGGCAGTGATATCTGTTTACTTTAGTTTTATGTACTTTACTTGTTGGCTGAGATGATAATGCTTCTGTCTTGTCGACAGGAGGTGTCAGGTTTGGATCTTGGTTGGATCATTCTAGTCTCCTCTGACATGTTTCTTCTGTTGTCATTTTCCTCAATTACTCCAGGCATGTGCTGGGGTAGTACCTCGTATTAGGCCATGGCTGCTTTCTTCCATGTCCTTGCCAGTTTATCCCACTCTTTGATACTGTATGATCTGAAGTACTGACAGTCAGATGGTACCTAGTAAAATTCAGGTTTCTTCTCTTGGGCTTCATGACAGATTTGTCTCTGAGTTCATAACTCTGTGTAACCAACTAGTTGATGAATGTTTTACTTTGGTTGTTACTTTAGGTGAGCTGTATGGTTACGTATTGGAAGCTGTAACATCTCTTCATCTGGTTTTTCATTTGTTCTCTACCTCCCAAGTTTGAATCTAGGCCAGGTTACCAGCTAACATGACTAAGATTTTCTTATTTTTCCTCAGTTTCTCAAGCTTATTATGCTATCCCCCCCCCCCCATTTGAAAGAACAATGTTAAATAAGATAAGTGATCACCCGTTTAGTTTTGTTGTAAGCTTTTGGGGAGTTATGAATTGTGTCAGAATTGTTAGTTACAATATTATTACCAAGAATAAGATTTTCTGGCCTGTGTACATTAAAAATCAGTTTGTAATATATGTAAACTTTAGTTGGATTGTGTGGTAGAAATTAGTTTGTAACATGTATGAACTATAGTTAGATTGTGTGTTAGTCCATGGAGTGTGTTTGTGTTACATTTCACACTAGTTGTACCAAAATGTTCACACTTTAGATCCTAAATCTGAATTCCTGTGAAGACAGAGGGCTTTGGTATGTAGATTTGGATTCTGCGTGACTTCCTATTCTCTCAGTACATATAGCTCCCACCCAACACATTCTCTCTCCTGTCTCAAATTAGTGAGGGATCAAGATGAATCCAGTAAAACTGGAATAGTTAAAAGTTATTATGCTGTCATTTGTATTTAATCACACACATGTAATATTGAGGCAGGTTTAAATTAAATGTGTGATACTGGAAGAATACCTGGTAATATGTGGGAATTCAAATAAATGTTCTGTGGTAATTTCTTTTGAGTTATTGCCTACTGTATTGGAACTGATTTAACAAACCGTGACATAAATATGTACTCTTCCACTCTCCTTTCTTCAACATTTGAGCTCTGCAGTCGAATTTCTTTTGTTATGATTTAGTGGTACTAATATAAAAGCTTAGATTTAAATAAAACCATCTTCCATGTCTCTTCTTGAGTTTGATTTGTGTGTTGTATGAGCTTTACTTTCTTTTATTTAATAATAAAGTACTTGTAACTTCATAGGAGACAAGAAAAATGTTTTTATAAAGTTACAGAATACTACCACATAATTTCATCTCCTTTTATGTGAGTAAAAATGAGTACCAGATATCTTCCTGGAGGTAAAGGGCAGCCAGCATGTAAGGCTGACAACCCCACTGCCATCTGTGAACCGACTGTCTTAGAAAATATTGGAACCTCGACATCTCCCAACCCTATGGGCCTCCATGGCCTATTACAGGGATAGCTTTACCTTTACCTTTAATATTGAAGATTTTGGCAGAATTAAATAAACTTAAGGGTGAAATGTTTTCTTAAAAGTATTTTATCTGTTAAGTCAGTTAGGACATGCCTGTGGTGGAATAGTAAGAGGTCTACATCCTGGGGCACATGGAGCAAATGGGATCTGTGGAAATCTGTGTATTTTGTTTCCCGTTGAAGTAACTGAGAAGGCGGGCCACGCCACAGCTCAAGCGGTTAGTCGCTGGCTTCCCACTGTGGTGGCCCAGGTTCAATCCTGGGTCTGGTCAAGTGGGATTTGTGGTGGACAAAGTGGTGCTGTGGTGGTTTTTCTCTGAGTACTTCGGTTTCCCCTGCCAATCTCCATTCCACCAAATTCTCCATCATCATAATTACCCGGGGAAGGCTACAGTAGGCCGATCTGTGGCCGCTGTGCCGAGTGGACCCAGTTGGACTCCACCCTCCCACAAAGCGAATTAAAAAAAAAAGCTGAGAAGGCATAGTGCATTTTAAAGCACATCAGTTATTGAAGAACTGCTAAACAGGCGTGTTTGAAGCTGATATGAGTTAGATTGGCAAATTATTTGCATTCAGGAATTACCTTCATGGATTTAGAGCTCTGTGGATGTGTCACTGGCTGTTGTCTGTGTGTGACTCATCAGTATGTGATACTAATTTTACACATTTTATGACCATCACACCCAATATTTCTAAGCTAGATCTGATTGTAAGATTTAATTCTGGTTTTAAGCCATTCGGTGACCATAAAGTAATTATAAATTTGCCAGAGGCACTTTGGTGATGATTTTGTGTGCGCGCGCGTGTAAACATATGTGCGCCAATTATTGAAGAAGTAAAGGTCTGTTAACTTGGAATTGATTTCTCAATTGCATGAATACACTGTTTTGTTTGTGTGTGTGTGTGTGTGTGTAGGTCTGTATGTATGAAAAAAATATAAATTAGGATTGATACTTCTGATTGTTAAATTACATTTATTTTGTGAATATCATCAATAAATATGTTAAAATTCTAAAACCTTGTTTTTATTTATTAATGATAGTATTCATAATGAAGATGGTTATTGTTATTGTTATCATAATTGTAATCATATTTAAATTATTGTGATCACTTAATGTTTCTTCAGCTTAATAAAGAGATAAACAGAACTTGCAACCAAATATTGAACATTTGCTAGTGACTGGATGCTGGCATTCAGAACTATCTTGCCCACGTAGAGTATATGTATATATTAAGCTGCTTATACAGATACAGGTAGCATAATAATTAAATGGTTGTTTATTTTCTCAAAAGTCTCCCAGTTTCAGTTAATGGCAGCTTGAGATACATATGCTGTGCCAAAATACATAAACAGGGATTATGGAGACAGAATTAATATTTGGAAATTTGGCAATATGTTTCTTATGCTTTTAAAACTGAACTGGGGTGGAACATTAAGTGTTTTGATTAAACACAGAGCCACTAGTAGTGGCATGTCATTTTGTCAGGAATTCTTAAGTGTCAGTATGTAAGGTGTGCATGCATGTGAGGACCCACGCGTGAAGTGTGATAGATGATGAATTGAAGGTGGTACAGTGCTGCTTCTATGATAGGTACCCAGTGAAGAAATCAGACATCTTATGTCGCTGAGATCGCGCAGACCAAATTTGCTAACAGGGCCACTCAGGAAATTATTGTTGCTAGATATATCATGTCATAGGTACCAGTGGAGCTAATGACTTAACTAAACGGTTGTATTTTACTGGAGCTTCAGATATAGATCTGGATTTGGGTTCTCCAAGGAAAGAATTTTCATTTGTGAAAAAATGTATGCAAGGAAGTATGATGTGATAAGATAAAAAAAAGAAACAACATGAATAACAGGTGTCTAGGGTTTGATGATAAAAATTAGCAGTGAGAACAGAGACTTCCTAATTATATTCTTTACTAAATACAGCCAAAATCCAGCAGAAGCAACCGTAGAGGAGGAAACAGTTGAAGTAACACAGGCAGTAGTAGTTGTGGATGGAAGGACTACACATGCAAATGCCATAACAATCGTACCTGCTCACAACTGCTTTGTCCATCACTTGTGGATTCATGTAGGGGGAGAACTAGTTATGTGCAAGTAGCTGAATTGTCATGCAAGGGTTGTGCATGATGATATTAAAAGAGATGTTCCTGCAATACTTGAAATTTGCAAATGGACCTGCCTTGCATTGATCATTTCTGGAAAGGCTTTTGCAATGAAAACATCTTTCATACCAGCAAGTTCCATGTGGAGGTTTTTGCTCATTCTTGTTCATATTGCACAAAAGACTTCTGGATGAAGCATCAGTTGAATATTTTAAGTCTTACTGCATACAGGAGAGGAACATTACTGAGTATATTTTTCACTTATAGTGGATTATCTAAAGAGCTTAGAATATTGTTGGTAGATCTGGGTTATGAGACCATGTACTCTGGCAGGGTGTTTGGGAGGAGGGGGAGTGCTTCAGAGGAGCCCGCTGCCTTCGTCCTCAGTATAGATGTCGAAGCCATTTCTTTCCTGAATATGGAAGCAGCAAAATGACAATAACCACCTAATGTGCTGGGAGGTTGAAATTAAAAAGAATCAAGAGAATGCATGTTCATGCATAGTTTATAGTTTGCTATTGATGGAAACATTTACCCTTCTTGTTCACTCTATTTTGTGTATTAGCAGAATATGATTCTTTTCTCTGATGGGAGGAATTATATTTGAAAACTAAGAGCTGAGGAAAATGTATGAGAGATGAACTAATTGGAGATGTAGAACAAAACAAGTTAGTGATCTCTGTGGCTTCCATTCTCTTGTGTCTAGTAGTGTAGGGGTTATGGTGGCCTGAATTTGAAGCTCAGGTGAAGGAAACAAATTCATAACTAAGTTAGGCAAGGAAACATCTAATGCAGCTATTTGGAAGACTGAGTTGTAGATGGAAGGATGATATAAAAATTAATCTTATAGAAATAATTGTTGTAGGGCTGTTGAAGTGAGGGGGGGGGGCAAGATAGATTTCAGAGACATGTATGTGTTAGCAAGTGAGATTATGAAATTCTCGTTCGGTAACACTTACAAATGAGATAACTGATAAAACAGCAGTGTCAGTGTAATACCCCATATCAAAATGCATATAGAAGAAAGTGATTCAGGATCTTCATTCAGCAGCTATAATCACTCTGCACGCTTTGTCTTGCAGGTATCATCCGTCTCCTCTGACATCATTCAGAGCTTTCCTTGACACACAGAATCCATGGAGAACTCAGCACAGGAACGAGAATGTCTTTGACCTGTCACATGCCACATCAGTTCTCATAAAAACTGAAGATCACACACTTGAAAATGGACTCGGATGCTGTTATTGTGGAGTGTATTTTAACAGTAACAGTGAATTGTCAGTGCATTTGTCAGTAGCACATTCATCCAAGGTGTTCCATTGTAATACTTGTGATGCAATATTTTATGACAATAAAGAACATTTTTTGGATCATATGAACACCCATGATCAGCAGCATGATTCGTGGTCTGATATTGCAGGGAAGAATGATATCTCAGTACCTAATCTGATGGATATTGTTTCAGTAGATACAGAACCAACTGTACCGGCCTCAAATGTTCATAAACAGTCTGTGAGGAAGAAGAGTTATCCTTGTACTGTTTGTGGCAGTATTCTTTCCAGAAGTTTTGACTTGAAAAGGCACATGAGGATTCATAAGCCTCATGAGAAGGAGAATGGTTCTAAAGGAATGAAGTTCCATTGTTCCTATTGCAATAAAATTCTTTCACGGAAGTTTGATATGAGAAAACATGTCTTGGCTGTCCACAGTTTCAAAACATCAGAAGAAACTTTAATTAATGAAAGATCATGTTCAGCAAGCAAAACAGATTCTGAGTTACCTATTAAGGTAGAACTTCCAATAGAAACTGAAGGAGCAGGTGTGGTAAGTGAAGAAACAAAACAGCTGAAGCAATGTAAGAAAAATAATGTGGACAGTAATCATAAAAAGGAACAGGATAATATATCTCGTGCAAAAGTTGAGCTGAACGGCCGTACAGTATATCGTTGTGACCAGTGTAATAAACACATTGTTACAAGATATAGCTATATTCGACATTTGCGCATACATACAGGTGAAAAACCATACACATGCCATGTATGTGGTAAACAATTTCGAGTTCAGGCTCTTCTTAGTCGTCATGTTCGTGAGGTGCATGATCGCATCAAGAATCATCCTTGTGACATTTGTGGAAGACGATTTGCAAATAGTAATGCACGCAATGATCACAGAAGAACACACACTGGAGAACGTCCGTGTGTATGTCATCTGTGTGGGAAGGCATTTAAAACAAAAGCCTCTCTCTTTGTGCATAACAAGTTTCATTCAGATGTTTTTCCACATCCATGTCCTCAATGTGATAAACGCTTCCGTCGGCGTCAGCAGTTAAACATTCATATCTTGCATCATACTGGGGAAAAGCCCCACACCTGTCATTTCTGTGGAAAGAGCTTTCGTCTTAGTAAAACACTAAAAGATCACACGTTAATACACACAAACAAAGAAACTTTTGAATGCATTATATGTGGAAAGTACTTTGCACAAGAGCGTTACCTGAAAAATCATGCAAGGAACCATAGACTTCGAGTTACAAGTAGAAATCTTGTTGCAAACTGAACACTGTATTACAGATTTGAATTTTGCATAGATTGTAAATAATCAGCTGCCACCTAAGTAGAGACATGAAGTTCATTATATTAGTTTCTAGAATTTGAGTGTATGAAATCTTTCACATAAAATTGGTAATAGTAATTTATTTAGATTAATTGAATTTAACAGATTTTATTTTAATAAATGAAAAGTTTACATTAACATTGGAGAACAGGTAAACTACTATTTGATTTTGCATTTTT